GGGTTCCTCGTCCTAACAGTAGATGGCAACATTTGCACAGCAGCCAAAGAGGGCAAATAATTAGGCTTGTGCGGTAACGCAGAGGGAGGCTACAGAGAGTATTTCTGATCAGGTCGGCTTCATCTTACATATACTGAAAATATCCATCATGGCAAGCTAATGTTTCTTTGCAATAGCTTCAATAATTTGTCTTAGGTAAAAGCTTTCTGGTGTTCTCAACCCTTTCTCTGCCTGCAATCACTGTTCTATTTCTGCCAGCACACAGAGTTATTAATGGCGTTGAGATTGGCATTAGATTATTTTTGTCATGATTTTCAAGATTTGTTAAAATAAGGTGTTGTTTGTGAGACTGTTGGAATGCAATTTAGCCTCCCCTATGTTGAGATGTTAGGGGGTCAAAGAGGCTAAACACAAGCATTACTTATCAGTGGAAAATTCAATTTAGTTGTTTGTTGGGGCTGAAAATAGACTGATGTTGATTTCAGTCCAGTTGTACAACTTGATATGAAATCTTGATAATTTCACCCACAAAAAGAATAAAAGTGGTTGCTTTTATCCTCAAGGGGAGCATTATGTTTGCGTTTTTAATCTTGGGAGAAGTTGTGTGAAAACAATCATATATGTTGTATAGATGTATAATTTCTTCATTGTCTCCGAGGAAGCTTTGTTAAATCTCAGAGAAGAATCCCCAATGATCCTGTTCTGGTCTAACTGTAAGTTGGGATTGAGTTGCGTTATGGGGAATGTAGGACTAAAAGCCTGCTTTGCTCAGTCTCTTCTTTTGATTTTGATCTTTGTCAAACCTTTTAGTCATTGCCCCAACTTGGAAGCACAATACCAAATCTCAACAGTACTTCAAAGGGACACTGCCAAGATTATACTTTGGTTCAGTCAACAGGGGGATACATTCTTGTTAGGAAATGTACATAATACAAGTGGTACGAGATTGTATTTGCGTTCTTGGCCGAAGTGTTTTTACTTCTATGATGGTAGAGTTAAGGAAGAAAACTCCAGCAGAGATTTGATCATGTCATTTGGAGATATTGGACTAAATAAAATACTTTTGGAGTAGTTCACCAAGTTTTACATTCTATCAAGGACATATTAGTTATTAAACAATTTCAACTTCAAAAGTTTGGATGCCTATTGTTTCACTGTATCTCAAAAGCAAATCTTTGTTTAAAAAGGTAATAAAGTTGTAGATAACATTATTCAACTGTTTTCAGACATTTAATGATACTTCAGTTTATTGCTTTACACATCAAAAACATTACTTATCTCTTAATCACACAGTTACACAGATGCAGAAAACTTCTGTAGCGAGGTCATGGTGTTCTATCGCAGCAAATCGAGGATCAAGGAAACTTCATTGTCATCTACATTATTGCGAACATAAAGTGGGGTGAAACTCGTTATCCAGGTCGAGGTCCTGGGTGGAATGTGGGGCAGTGTGGGGGCATCATAGCCATGATCATGTACCAACATGGCTTGGTAGTTATTCAAATCAGGACTGGCCACATTGGCTTCATGCCTTGTCTACAACAGTGAT